CAACTAAGTCCTCAAGAGAAGCTGCTCCACACGATTTGAATCACCACTGAAATAGGGTCTCAAGATAACAATCTTGTTGAATGAGTTTTTCACCCGTACTGGAGTGCATCCTGACTGTGATTCAGAGCCTAACAGCTACTTAATTTGATAACTAATTAAGCCAACAAAAGTGGGTCTAAATATCTAATGTGTAACATTTTTACACTTACAATCTCTCCTTTGGCAATTAGTTGACAAAATACAACTATACAAATATACTTGAAGGCTAGAACATAATTCAAATAAAGCTTTATTGATAAATAGTCTGAGTATATTTTCTTATATCATGAAAAGCTAGATACACGTTCAGTCTGGAATCTGGATCAGAGTCAGGAGCAGCTTTGTAGCTCAGAAAGAGCCTGAGCACAACCAACCTGATACTCCTTTCACACTAGCAATCACCAACCTTCACATGCATGACTACCAATAAACTAATAATCCACACAACAAACATTCACACAACACATTGTACAAAAATTTAAATTAATCACAGCCAGTAAGCAATGGACAGATTATCATTTAAGCAACACATAACGTTCACGAAGTAAATCACAAAAACATATTAGCACAGCATAGCAGCAATCAAGTAGCAAAAAAATCACATTATTACACATTATTATCAGTTCAACTAGCAGCCACCAAAAGTAACTCCAAAATACTCACCCTTTTGTCACACTAAGCGCCAAGGGTGATCATCAAAAGCCTGACTCACATAATTGCATGGATTTTGATAACAAATAACATTAATTTAGATGTATTATTAGAGATTATAATGTTGAAATATATCAAAAGCTCGAACGTTGGATGTTTACAACTCAATGCCTCAAATCTCTCCCAGCATGCATATGTCCAAAAAGCTTCATAAACACCTATAATAAAAATATGCTAAATTTGCCCCCCCCCCCCCCCCCCCCCCCCCCAAAAAAAAAAAAAAAAAAAAAAAGAAAAAAGAGAGAGAGATCAATATAGCTTAATCAAATACTTACTACTATTTCGAAAGTTATAACAAGTAGCAAATACAAATTTATTTTTTATACTTGCGGTGTAGCACTCAATAGCGAAGACAAATTTATTTCTTTATACTTGTGGTGTAGCACTCAACACCATATTCCTCCAAGCCTAGCTCCATGCAACAATATCAGTTTGACTTGCATAATTACATGTGTGATTAGGAAAGAGAAGACGGGAGGGAAAGGAAAAAGGAAAAAATGAAATAAATTAAAACAATATCTGAAAAAAGTAATTTGAAAAGAAAAAAATCTTTTGATTAACGCACCCGGCTGGGTGCTAGTTTTGCATCTCAGGCGACGCTGTCTTTGCTTTGTATTTTTTTTCTTGTTGGGTTTTACTATGGAGACAAAAACCAGGTCTTTATCTAATGAAAAAACAACAAAAAGCTCTACCCCAGCCCATTTCTTGAAAAATCATGTTCAAGTTTTTAGGCATGCAAAACCTCCCCAAAAATCACTATTGAGGATGCTCTTAGCTTATATGTGTTAGACATTATAATATTGAATAATCAACTCAAATTTAAAGATATGGATATTATCATATTAATAAACATTACTCTTAGAATTGACAGAACATTATTTGTCTAAGACATTCTTAGATAGCTAGATAGGCAAGGACAAATGAATACGGAGTATATGATAATTTGTGCATTATTGCACCAGGCCATGTTAATTTGATACCCTGCCCTCTGACAAGACTATACAGTGCTCACTCCTGATCTTATACAAGGGTGGTCCATTTTTCTTAATTTTGTTTGCTCACAAAATATCAACCTAATTGCAACTAGCATATGTGCCTGATATATGATATATCATAGTCATAAAGAATATTTAAAAAGGGCAGCATCCTTTAGTCTCTATTTAAAGATTAAATCACATTCCTATTAATCCCATCAGAGAATTTGTCTTTCAATCAATATCATTTGATAATTAATCTTGTTTAATTTTTGACTGAACATTTAAAAATATTTCTTTCACAATTTATTTTTCCGATCTATTTAATATATAGTCTCGTGATTTATTAATCTTTACATAAAAAAAAAAAAAGATATTTTGTCCGTATCATTTTACATGTCTTGTTTACTATTTATTGGTAAAAAAACTCTTTCTTCTTTAATTAGTTTTTAATTATTTTTAAATGTGATATTTTGTATTTATTTAATAGTACTTTAATGTTGTTTTTAAATATAATAAATTTTATATACTAATATTAAACATAACATTAAAAAAATTGAATTAAAGATAACTTCAGTTAACCCTTGTTAACCAAACACATAAAGTTGGATTGGATTGCTTGTTAAGCATGATTAAGGTAACAACGAGTGCAAATGCACCAATGTCATATGTAAGTTTATGTTAAGTGGGCAATCACATCTGAGTTAATCGAGAAATTAGTTTGGTAATCAAAAGATTTTAAATTTGAGTTTTTATGAGAGTTATTTATTAACCTTTTCGATTATATAAACTAATTTATGTTATTGTAATCTTTTGACTTGGATCACAGGACAAATGTTCGTGGACTGTGAGTGTACGAACAAGAATTCGGGTCGGGATGTGGTAGTTGTCACCAAATATACACCACGTTGCCAAAAATAAATCAAAATGAGTTTATTGCCAAACGAAATTCCCGTGATAAATTATGTGGTACGTATAAGATCTAATGAAGATTTTGTACACATACATAGTACAAATGACAAGCTAAGATTGAAGTTTCAAGTTTAGAAATTTAAGTGATGTTATGTTATGAGGTGTCCTAGATTGGCAAGTAGATGTTAGGTCAAAGTACGTGAGATTTGTTGGATAACTCGTTGGTAAAATCGAATAATAATCTCACAAAAAAAAAATTTATTTTCTGTAGAAAAAGGGGAAGGAAAGATGAAGAGATTATTTGCTACCTCCCACAAGTGCTAGGAGCATTGTATCCTAGGCTCCCCAGGATAAAACTTGTAGAAAAAGGGGAAGGAAAGATGAAGAGATTATTTGCTACCTCCCACAAGTGCTAGGAGCATTGTATCCTAGGCTCCCCAGGATAAAACTTGCTACGATTCGATGTTTGAGCACCCAAACAAGGAATCCGGCGAACGAGAGAGAGCAACATTTTGAACACAATTCGGCTAAGAAAGAGTAGAAGCAGAGAGTTTTGAGGCTAGAAAAGACCGTTGCACGAAGCTAAAGCTTGAGATGAAATTTGTGCCCGCACACATTTAATTTGCACAACCCCTACGCGTGAGTGAGAGCCTCTATACTATACAATTTAATAATATTAAAAAGAGCTCTTGTATAAATAGTGGGGCAAATCCTCTTCCCAAACCAATGTGGGAGAAAAGCTCACTTTTTGACTTCATTTTCCAACTCAGATGGGTCTACTTTGAGAATCAATATCTCATTCACCCATTATCCGTTTTGAGTGTACAATATATCAATCTCTTCATCTCACTACGAAAAACCAGAATCCACTTTGACCCGACCCAAATCGGAAGTGGACCCCACTGATAATTGTACCACAAAATAGACACTTAACATGCCATTTTATGTCATTTTTGTTAGAAATTTATATAGTAATGGAGATTAATGTTTCAGATGAACTACCATGAAAGCTTAAATAATATTTGGAGTTTTGGAGTTGTAAATATTATTTTAGTTTGGTAGAAAGTTAATTAAAATACTGGGAGAAATTTATATAGCTATATGCTCGTGATATATAGCTATATGCTTGTAATACATAGCTATATGCTTGAGGTTTATATAGCTATATGCTTGAGATATATAGCTATATGCTTGTGATATATAGCTATATGCTTGAGATATATAGCTATATGCTTGAGATTTATATAGCTATATGCTTGAGATATATAGCTATATGCTTGTGATATATAGCTATATGCTTGAGATATGTAGCTATATATGCTTGGGATTATTAAACTACATATATGGATATTATTTATATTTATTCTTTGCATGTTTTCATGCGTAAGGAATATATATATATATATATATATATATATAATTTTGCATACAGTTACTGACTCAAAATAAATTTAATTTTTTTCTGCAGTGATGGATATATCATTCAGGATATATCTTATCTTATGGAAGTTGAGTTTTAAATCACAGCAACTTCCATGTAACTTCTCTAAACAGATATATTTTTCATCTATTAATATTTTGGAGAAACATCTGAAAGGAAGATGCAAAAAACTTGCATTAAACTGAGATTTTCACAGTCTTACAGTTCTTCAGGAAATTCTCAAAGAAAGCAACTTGAGAATTTCATTCATCTTCTTGTATCCCATAAGATTAAATCTTGAACCTTGTTGCTTTTATAGAGGGAGATTTAAAGTTTATAGGAAAGTGATTACACGCCTGAAGATATCAAATGATCCAGTTTTTGTTGCCTGTTGTATTCTGTATTATTGTTGTATCTCAAATGTATTACAGATTACAAGTCCTTTTTCCAACAATTTTAAGCTATTTTTTCCAACAAGATTTGGGAGCAACAATCAATCTTGTTAGTTTGATAGATAAATTAATAATTATAAAGTACTAAATATGACTTCTTGGTGCATGAGAGTGCCTATTGACCTTTTTAGTTTGAGTTGGTCAATTATGAATAACTTAGGTTGATTTATATTGTTGTGGTTCTTTGCCATATAAGACCACAAAGTCACCGGGTTTTAGTTTAGAGTGCACTATCGTGTAACAGTAACTTTCTCCTAAATCAAATCATATGTATTCCCATTATAAAACCTATAATATTGTATAGGCATGATTATTTGTTAATCAAAAGGGACGTTTCAACTAATAATAAAATGAAACTTCATTCACATGCAATGGTCTCCTCATACATTAACACCCAATCCACTTTCACTGTTACCAGCACTCTGTATATATAGCCCAATCTAACATGGCTATACGCAGCTTCAATTCATTCTTCATTTACACAAAAACATCATGGCAAAGTTGTCTAGGTCAAATGGGAACAAAAAGAATGGCTTGAAATTGAAGATAGTAGTAGAAAAGCTTCAAAAGAGTTTTCTACTGGGCAAGAGGAGGTCACCCGCGAATCATTTTGACGAGTTTGAGAACTCCGAGGATGTTCCCAACGACGTTAAAGAAGGGCATTTTGCAGTGATGGCAGTGGAGGACGAAGACAACCTCAAAAGATTCATCGTTCCCCTGAGTTGTTTGAGGAATCCTTGTTTTTTAAGGCTATTGGAAAGAGCTGCAGAGGAGTATGGGTTTGAACATGAAGGTGCACTCATGCTTCCTTGCAAGTCAAGTGAGTTGGAGAAGGTTCTTGGCAAGCAATATAATGGAAGATCAGCAGATTATTGGAGTTCTCGTACAAGTCAAAAGCTTTATGTTTAATTCATATATATATATATATATATATATATATATATATATATATATATATTTGTCCATATATACTTTTTAAACTTACTGAAATAAATTCGAACATAAGACTTTCCATTTGAAGAGTCACAGTGGTTAGACCACAAGTCTTTAGCTTTTAGATTATATTTTGTTTTAATAGCGCTTTAATTTTAATTTAAATTAAGATTGTAGGTAACAATTAAAATAAAGGTCTTCATCAATTGCTTTCCTTTGTGTAGCATTGTTAATCAAAGAGAAATATCTGAACTTTGTCCCCACTAAAACAATTTTTGGATTTGTCCCTCTATATATATATATATATATATATATATATATATATATATATATATATATATAATTTTGAAGAGTTTGAATTGTATAGTGTATTTAAATGTTTGAACTCGTGTGCAATAGGGAAATATGGCTTTTGAACTTTTCCAATTATGTAAGTGAGATCAGAGAACGAAAGCTTAAAGCTCACTACTTGTTAGCAATCTGCCCAATGCATCTTGAGAAATCGAAGAAAGTCAAAGTGTCACACGCTTCCATTACAGACTAAACAAATTCACTGAATCATATAAATTAAAGTGTACGTGTAACACTTGTCTTCATAAGACAAAAACTAATCTCTTTGATAAGCAAAGAAACACATTTAATTTACTACGAAAACAATAATTTCCAAGAAAATAACCAGCACAATATATGAAAGATAAGGGGTTAGTACAAGTCGAGCTAAACATTCTTTCTTTAAAATCTTATTTGCTATTTCCTTTTAATTGGTACTATATTATGATGGTTGTACTTTAGGTTTATCAGGATAAAACGTACTACAGTTCTATGCTTGAGCACGCACTCAAACAAAATAATCCAGAAAACTAGAACACATAAATTTGAGGAGGAAGATGTGCAGATTGTAAAATCTCCTGCTCATCCTACGAATATATATATATAGGAGATGAAGAATTAATATCACTTATCATATTTAATTTATATAGATAATAAAATCAGTCTATGTAACATTTGTGACAGACAAACATTTATTGAAATTCATTCAAAATCAATTCCGTTAGAATCAAAATTAATACGCTCCGAATAGTACAACTATTAGGACTCTATTATCATTAGTATTCGTTATCCATTATTATTAGTATTCGTCTTGTAATAGGTTTACTATTCACTATTAGATATACTCTTGTACAAACTCATTCATTATTATTCAGATATATCGTATCCTCATCTAGTATTAGCAGGTTTTTTTCCCTCTCTCCATGGCGCAACTCGGATCTGATGACGGCTCTGTTGGTAGTTCCGAACGGACTGTTTCTGAGGCCGCGCTTGTTGCACCGCAGCAGTCGGGGGTGTCCTTCTCCTCGGTGCATCACTTTGTCTCCATCAAGTTGACCTCCCGCAATTTTCTGTTTTGGCGTACTCAGCTTCTTCCGTTTTTGGATGGCCAAGGGTTGTTGGGTTTTGTCGATGGTACTTCATTATGTCCGCCAATCACCATGCTTGCCGTGCCGCCCGCCGAGGGGGCTGTTGCTGCCGTGCCTCCGTCGACTTCGTCTTTCGCTGCTCGGAGTGCATGGCTCCGTCAAGATAAGGTCGTGCTCTCCTTGCTGATCTCGTCCTTGTCCGACGAGATGATGCACCTCGCCATCGGTAACTCCACTTCTTGGCATCTGTGGTTGGCGATCGAACAGGTGCTTGGTTTGACGACATGGGCTCGTGCTCTCCGGTTGGTGGGCGAGTTACAGGGATTGCGGCAGGGGGATGCTTCTATCCCGGACTATCTTGGCCATGCACAGGTTCTTATTGAGGATTTGGCTCTTGCCGGCCGTCCGGTGACGTTGGAGGATCAGAATATGTATATATTCCGGGCTTGCGGTCCGAATATCGCTCTTTGGTGGCGTCGCTGACAAGGGGTGCTCCGGTGTCTCTGCCCGAGCTATCCAATTTTCTTGTTTCGTAGGCTTTTATCTGTGCCGATGACGCTGGTGATGTTGCTGCTGCTCCGGTCGCCATGGCGGCTCAGCGAGGTGGAGGCCGCTCGGGCGGGCAGCAGCGTGGAGGCGGCAACCGCGGCCATGGTCGCGGCAAAGGGCGTGGCCGTGGTCGAGGTTGTGCCGGTGCTGTCCAGTGTCAGATCTGCTCTGGCGAAGGCCATTCGGCCGCTTCGTGCTTTCGCCGGTATGATGGAGCTCCGGGGCCGAGAGCGCACATTGCGTATCCCGTGGACGATGCAGCTTCGGTTGGCACTCAGCAATGGTTTCCCGACACTGGTGCGTCGAACCATGCCACCCTGGATCCGTCTTTGATGTCCTCGGCGGTCTCTTATACCGGTCCGGATCATCTTCGTGTTGGTGACGGAAGCGTTTACCTATTATTGGTACTGGTTCGTCTTCGGTAGCCTCTTCTAAAACACTGTTTCATTGTCTGATGTCCTTTATGTTCCTGGGCTTTCTGCGTCTTTATTATCTGTACAATGGTTTGCACGTGATAATAATGTCTTTTTTTTTTTTTTTTAATTTCACCCTGATTGTTTCTTTGTGAATGATCGTTCAACCAGGGAAGTTCTATATAGAGGGCAGGCTTCGGGGGGTCTCTATTCTTGGCCTGTTTCTCGTGTGAGTCCCGCTGTGTTAGTGGCCTCTCGTGTCTCCTCTAAAGTTTGGCATGGTCGGCTGGGTCACCCGCATCCTCGTGCATGTCTTGCGTCAGATTTTGAATTCGTGTTCTAATGATTCTAGTTTTAGTAATAGTTCGGTGTCTTGTCGTGCTTGTATGCTTGGGAAATCGTCTCGGTTTCCCTTGCCTCGTGTCAATACTACTACGTCGCATGTTTTAGAGCTTATTTATACTGATATTTGGGGCCCAACGCCTTTTCTTTCTGTCAATGGTTTTCATTGTTTTGTTTTGTTTGTTGATGACTACACACGCTATGTATGGTTTTATCCTATGCGTTTAAAAATTGATGTGTATGCTATCTTCTAACAGTTTCGGTCACTTGTTGAGCGTTCATATGGTCGTAAGATTGTCTCTATACAATCTGATTTAGGGGGAGAGTATAAACGGTTGTACCGTACTTTTGTCTCTTTGGGTATCAATCATAGGCAATCTTGTGCCTATACCTATGAGCAGAATGGTAGAGTTGAGCGTCGGCATCGTCACATTGTGGAAACGGGTCTGGCTCTCATGGCTCAGGCTTCGGTTCCCCAAAGATATTGGGATTATGCCATTGAGACTGTGGTCTATCTCATCAATAAAATGCCTACTCGTGTCCTAGATAATGTCAGTCCTCAGTATCGTTTGCACTATTCTAGTCCTTCCTATTCCTTCTTGCGTGTGTTTGGCTGTCTCTGTTATTCTCTGTTGCGCCCATAGAATCGTAACAAGTTGCAGTATCGGTCATCCCCGTGTGTGTTTCTTGGTTACCCGTCTTCGTTTCGTGGCTATCGTTGTTTTGATCCTAGTACTAACAAGGTATTCATTTGCCGCCATGTGCGTTTTGATGAGACCATATATCCGTTTGCTTCTTCTGTGCCTTCTCAGGTTTCTAGCTCTCGCCCGGTTGAGCCGTGGGGTGTTGGTGCCGTTCAGGTTGGTGTTGGCTCCGATGTATGTGCCACTGGACTGGACCCTCATCCGGTGTTGGACGCGGGTTCCGGGGCTGCCGCGTCTGATTTGGGTTCACGCACCGTGACTGCCGTGGCTACGGAAGGTGCGGTCTCGGGTGCTCCTACTGGGCCCAAGCGAGGCCGCCGTACGGTTAAGACTGTTCAGCCTCGGTCTCATGTTATGGCAACCCGTTCTCAGGGACCGATGCAGCCTGTGGCACTTATGATACTTCCTGAGCCGACTTGTTATTCTTAGGCAGTTCGGTATCCGGAATGGCGTGACGCCATGGATCTTGAGTTTAATGCCTTGCTCCAGAATCACACTTGGCGTCTGGTTAGTCGCACCCCAGGCATGAATGTTGTGGGGTGCAAATGGGTGTTCAGAACGAAGCGCAAGACAGATGGAACGATTGAGCGGCACAAGGCTCGGTTGGTCGCTAAGGGTTTTAATCAGTGGCTGGGCAGGATTTTTTCGAGACTTTCAGTCCTGTCGTCAAACCCACCACCGTGAGGCTTCTTCTCTCCTTAGCCGTCTCTCGCGATTGGTTCATTCGACAGTTGGATGTTCACAACGCCTTCCTCAATGGCAATCTTGCAGAGACAGTTTACATGCGACAGCCGCCCGGTTATGAAGACCAGTCACGGCCGGATGATGTGTGTTTGTTACAGGGGTCCCTTTATGGTCTTAAGTAAGCTCCTCGAGCGTGGTTCAATAGGTTGCATGCCTTCTTGGTGTCGGTTGGTTTTTCACCCTCCAAGACAGATGTTTCTTTATTCATCTATACTCGTGACTCTGTCTGTTTATATTTGCTTGTATATGTTGATGATATCCTTGTTATGGGGTCCGATGCTTCGCGTGTTACTCGGCTCCTTGCTGACTTAGCCTCGGAGTTTAAGATTCATGACATGGGTGCTCCGTCTTTTTTTTCTTGGCATTGAGACGGTCTCCCAGGATGGTGGTTTGTTCCTTTCTCAGCAGCGATACATGCGGGATATTTTGAGCCGTGCAGGTATGGTGGACTATAAACCGTTGGCTACTCCGATTCCTATGTCCCGACCTTCTTCTGATTTTGTGGTTCCCTATGCGGATCCCACGCAGTATCGTAGTCTTGTTGGGGCTCTATAGTACCTTACTATCACTCGCCCGGATCTCTCTTTTGCCGTGAATCGGGTCTGTCAGCATATGCACTCTCCAACTACTGAGCATTGGGCTATGCTCAAGCATGTCCTACGGTACGTTAAAGGAACTCTGAACTTTGGTCTTTTTATTCGTCCTTCCTCCTCTGTTGCGGTTCATGCCTTTTCGGATTCGGACTGGGCTGGTGATCCAGCTGACAGAAAGTCCACTAGTGGTTTTGCGGTTTTTCTTGGTGGCAATCTGATTTCCTGGTCTTGTCGGAAGCAACGTACGGTTGCTCGTTCGTCTACAGAGATTGAATACACGGCACTGGCTGATGTGTCTGCGGAGGTCACCTGGTTGGTTTCTCTGTTGCACGAGCTTGGGGTGTCGCTGGCTGCTCCTCCCACTCTCTGGTGTGACAACCTGGGTGCGACTTATCTCTGTTCCAACCCGGTGTTCCATGCTCGTACGAAGCATGTGGAAATTGATTACCACTTTGTTCGTGACAAAGTGGTTAAGAAAGAGTTGCAGGTTAGCTTCATTTCAACAAAGGATCAGTTGGCCGATGTGTTCACTAAAGCTCTACCTGGTCCGCGTTTCTCTACTTTGTGTGGCAAGCTCAATGTCGTTGCTAGCCCACCTTGTGCTTGAGGGGGGTATTAGGACTCTATTATCATTAGTATTCGTTATCTATTATTATTAGTATTCGTCTTGTAATAGGTTTACTATTCACTACTAGATATACTCTTGTACAGACTCATTCATTATTATAAGATATACTCTTGTACAGACTCATTCATTATTATTCAGATATATCGTATCCTCATCCAAATTAAATGAAGATCGAGTACTTTTAGCAGTACGAACGGAGTCAAAATACGAGCAGTAGTTGGCCGAGTAGTCACTCCCGTTGGAAAAAAAATATTTTCAAAAAGTTGACAAAACTTAATCCACAAGATCAACTACATTTTCCATCGACATTCGTGCCCGCGTACACAAATAAAACCTCCAGAGTGTGATTCTATAACTTTCATTAAGATAGGCCATAGAGATACCATGTGAACACAATGTGCACAATGTGCTTGGCAATCTGTCACCCACTTTAAAAAAACACATGCAATTAAATGTAGGTATGATAGATAATATATACGTGTTTATCTGTTAATCAAAAGGGACGTTTCAAGTTGCAATGCAATTAGGATAAAATCAAACCTCATTCACATACATTGGTCTCCTCTTATTATCTTATCTCTCTTTAGTACTGCAGTACTGTTACTAACTCTCTCTTTATATATAGCCCACTCTAACATGCTTAATTATATGCAACCCTCAATTCAATTCTTTCTTCATTTTCTACAAAAGAAATATAATACACAGTCACATACCCAAAAAGCTGATTATTATTATGGCAAAGTTTTCCAGATCAAACGGGAAGAAAAACCTCAAGACTGTGGTACAATTGTTTCATAAGAGTTTTCTACCAGACAAGAGGTCAACGTCGACGAATCATTCTAACGAGTTGGAGGACTCCAAGGATGTGGCTAATGACGTTAAAGAAGGGCATTTCGCGGTGATGGCGGTGGACGATGAGAAGCTCAAGAGATTTATCGTTCCGCTGAGTTGTTTGACGCATCCATCTTTCTTAAGGCTTCTGGAAAAAGCTGCAGGAGAGTATGGGTTCGAACATGAAGGTGCACTCATGCTTCCTTGTAGGCCAAGTGGGCTGGAGAAGATTATTGGCAGGCAATGGAAGAGCGGCTCATCGAAACAGGACTGGGTTCTTGTGCGATTCAAGAACTCTTATATGTTTAAATTAAATATAAAGTAGTTTAGATTTAATTTCATAGTATTACCACCATAAAATTCTTTAGTTCAAATTGTATTGATCAAAGGGGTTCATCCGTTCTTTCCCTTTGTTCAGCATTGTTAATCAATGGGAAATATCCAGCTATTATATACCAACAAAGGTTTGACAGCAACTTTTTTTTTTTTTTTTTTTTTTTTTTTTTTTTTTTGTGGGTGGGTGGGTGGGGGGCTCGAATCAATAAAAATGTTTATTTCTTAGAACAATTATCCTTACAAGATACAATAATAATTAATCCATTGTTCCCAAACTAGCAGTGTGTGAATTCGATCTCAAGATTAATTAGATGATTTTTTGGGATAAAAAGGAGGGGAGAAGACCCCGGGACCACCTCAAGAGAGGTTCCTCACCATCACATACACTTCTAGTCCAGCAACAACCCATTTTGTCTTCATCCAAAGTTTGACACACCTCATCTGGGAGACACAAGATTATTAATCCAATTTTTCAAGATTCGATGATTAAATGCATGGGTAATGGTTAATAATTTTGTTAGATACTATAGATTTCATATATATATATATATATATATATATATATATATATATATATATATATATATATATATATATTTCCCAAAAGTTTGTCTATTTTTCCTAAGGGTATAGCATTTAAAACTATCTTTTCAGTTTTCATATCCTATAAATAGTTACGTTGTAAACTTGTAATATGTAAGTTGACAGGGATGACATAAAATATTATATGTTTTGAGTTGTTTGGGCCGTTTACTAACAGGAAATTTTCAAGAATTTTCGGAAATTGAAAAACAGAAAACATGTTTACTAGCATAGTTTTTCATTTTGAAAACTGAAAATAATTTTTCATTTTTCTACTCTTAAAACTGTTTTCTAAATGGAAAACAGAAAACATGTTTACTAGCACAGTTTTTCATTTTGAAAACAAAAAATAAGTTTTCTAGAAAACTGAAACACTTTTAAAACTGTTTTCTAAATGGAAAACAGAATCATCTATCATCTATCATCAATTTGGTTATATGTCACTATAACCACATTACTATGATTACATTCATTATCATCATTTTTAGTTATCACCATCTATTATCTTTTCTACTTAATTTACTTTTTTTTTTTTTTTTTTTTTTGAAAATGCTACTAGCTCTATTATCTTTTCTTCTTTTCTTAATTTACTTATTTATACATAAATTATTTGTTTACACTTTAAAATTATACATTATTTACATGATCAAAATTAACAATTGAACTCTATACAATGTTTTAGATTTTGATTGAACTCAATAGATTATTAGTCGGATATTTTTAGTTATGTTATATCAGTAATACAAGTTCGGTCCGGATATCGGATATTGAAATCTCACATATATTAAAATTTAAAGTAAAAAATATATATTCATATATATGCCATTCAAATGAATATATTAAAAAAAAATTAGCTCAAAAAAATATTAATATTATTTAAACTAAATTTTAGGTGAACTTAGTATGCTATTGGTTCAGATATATTTTTTAGTTTTTATGTTATATACATATATAAATTTTGTTCGGATATCAAATGTAAAAATCTTACATATATTAGACTTAAAAGTAAAAAAAAATTAATATTTATTCCATTTAAACCCAACATATTTAAAAATATTTTAAATATAAGATCTAAAAAATACTCGAAATTAAACTTGTGTTAATTTTATAACGTTAATCAAAAAAATAAATTTGAAAAAATAAGTGGTAAACAAGTTTTCTAAACAGAAAACAGAAAATGAAAACTGAAAAATTAGAAAACATAAAATAGGCCCTAGTTTCTTTGAAAATTTTCTATTGCCACGCGTTAACACCTCCGATCCTTTGTCTTACATTATGGGTGCAACCTCAACCAATTCAATCAGAGGGTTGGTAACTGGATAACCATAAGGTTTCAAATCTCATTATATTTCCATTAGATCTCCCTATTAGTCTTCTTCCCCACCTACCATAGAAATTAATTAAAACACTGCCCCTGTCACCGTGACCATGTATAACTTTATCTTCTATATGGATCTAGCAAACATTGAAATGGTAACTCATGAGGCTACAACTTTTTAAAAGAGACTAAATTTCAAATCTTGATGTTAAGGTGTTAGAAATTTAAATTTTAATTGAAGGCAAAACAATAAATTTGCTAAGTTTCCTTCTTTCTCATTTTATACTTGAGAAGTCCTTTAAAATATTCAATCACACAATGAAAGAGCTAAGGCGGGGATTTCAAATGATTCCTATATATCTTTGGGGAATTATTGGTGAAATTAAAGGAGTTGACGTGAATAGATTATCTTTCACAGAAATATCAATCACCCACCTAAGAAAATTCTACACACTATAGCGCGGACTACATGTAATGAAAACTTTCCAAAAGTCGACGAAGGATATAGTGACAACAGGTGATTACTTTAAAAATTGGTCACTAATTTCTATAGTGATCAAAATCGATATTTTTGGTAACAACTTCTGTTATCCCAAAATGTGAAATTTCTTGTAGTGACAGTCCAACGTTTGGGCAATTACAGTTGATCCGCATCTTTTATGAATGGGATTTAACCATGGCAATAAGAGTTGCATTATATTCAAAGAAAGCTAGGAGGGATGATCTTCATTGTAACACGAGCAATTTGTGTTTTCGATCAATTTCGAGTCATTGTATCAGATTAATGAAAAATGTTCCGGTTTTATGCTTGCATGTATAAGTGTTTTAAGTCTTTTAAAATTAAAATCCCATAATGGATTGTGCTGATCTGCATGCTTATGCTTTTTTCTTGCCCAAAAACGCCAAATCTCTCTCCCCAAGAGTCCTCACACCACGTCTTGACAGGATTGTGAAGTGGTAAATCACAATGACTGAATCACTCATTAGGTTGTGTTGGGCGGAGTCCGGTAAAAAGATTTAAAGGGCCAAGTCCAGCACCTAACGTCTCGAAATTAAAATGTGTGGCAATATAAGGAAAAAAAGTTGCGCATTCACTACAGGTTATGGTTTTTGGCGTTAGTGGTAAACATTTAATCCTAATAAGTGATATTAGAGCCTAAGACCAGTTGGATGGCTAACTAGAGTTCGAACTGAACTACTCGTATGGGCTCCTTATTATTTTTCTAAACGGTGTAAGAACAGCTAGTTGTTATACCGTGAATCATGGTTCACACATCGCTATGTGGACCATGATTGCGGAATTAAACTGTAGTAGATTAAAGATTGTACTGTAAGATTTTCCCTTATAATATATATATTGATATTATATATTAGGACCTTAATTAAGTGGTGCAAGTTGACTAGGCTTATTAAGTGGTGTGGTTGGACTTAATAACTAGTAGTTGTTAGTCAACCAAACTCTGTGCCTAATATAATCATGTATTGATGGGATACAGGATGGTTGTTGTTAGCACATTCAGTTACGGTACTCAAATCGCTCAGTAGATACCAATACACCATCTAGGGTTCTGAGTCAGGTTTGAGGCAAAACATAGCTGACGGTCTACCGTTAAGAGGCAACACAACAGGAACACCAACTATGGCTGGAGATCAACACGGCTACGCTTCCGCTATCATACGAGGTTAGGTTTCTCGTATACTATGGTTCATATAGTTAGACTATTGTATATCTAACATTTGGTTTCAGAGCCATTATAATCTCTGCCTGGTTGATTGTATTGCCTAAAAATCAACATTAATTTCATATACATGAAGTTTAGTATATGCTTTGGTTTACAATTACATTCATTCTAATTCATCAAAATATGCATATAAAAATATATCTTTTGATATAATTGAGTAAAATATTATGTATATTTTGAATGAATTATCCGTAATTGGTTTAAGACAGTATTTGAATTTCTTCAAAAAAAATTTGGACGATTGGAATTTAATTTCCACATTAAGCAAAGATTATAGTTTCTTCCAAATTATTTTGTTACCTACTGCCTGAGATTCAATTACTTGTGATTGTTTCCTTTGGATGGCTTGAATTTCAGTATTAAGAACACCTTCTGCCTTAGTGTTTTTTGCCGGTTTTACTAATTTTCCGGCAACCGCCACCGGTGACGCAACTGGGAGCGAGGACGGTAGCGGACTGCGGTGGTGGGCATCGCGTCTCCCTCTCCTCCTTCAGGCGATGCTAGACGACGACGCTGGTCCTTCAGGTGACGGCGGCGCGACCTTGGTTTGCAGGTGGCGGTTGTTGGTGTTGCACAGAGGAGGGACGACGGAGGAGAAGCTGGATTTTTCCGGCGACGTCTCCGTTTGTTCTTCTTTTTCAGGTGACGCCGGCGACTGGCTGCCGCTACTCCATCTCCGTGCAGCTGTTAAGGTTGTCGGTCGGCGGAAGCATCGCGAACAGAGGAGAAGCCGGCGACATCAAGATGCTGCTCCTCGCGACTGCCGATTCACCGCCGCTGCTAGGGCGCCTGGTCGATTAACGTGAAGAAGATGATGATGAACTTAAAGTTTGGGCCGGGTCATGCCCATTGGGGCAGGCCTGGTCCAATACTTAAAAAAAAAATTGGGCCTATATGGTTTATTTGGTCTTGCTAGCTGTTTTCTATCATCATATTTGGACTTCTTCTGGTTAATTGTCCAATTAATTCCTCCTTAAGTGATTAAATTATCATTCAATTTGGGGCAAATATTAAGTTTTAATTTGCTATTTGAATTTTAATTTAATATTGAGGTTTATATTAAATTGCATGAAGTATTGTAATTTATTAAGAAAATATGGATTAATAATACATTAATATGCAAATCCTAGCATGCTACGTATATTTATTAAATAATTATTTTATTATTATAATTATACATTTATAAAAGCATGCGTTAAGGTTGGACATAACATATTATTAATTCATAAGTTCATTATTAAATATCATTCAATTTTGGATTCTTAGGCTAATTTTGAGCATTATAGCCTATTAAGGTAGCTTGGTTTGGTTTCCCCTTAATTTTGAGCACATTTTAGTTTTATGTGT